GACGCCTGCGACGGTGACGGACAGTGCGAGTTCTGCTCCGTCGAGTTTCATCCTCCATGCTGCCCCCTCCACTTCTGCTGGTAAAATGCGGCGGCGACTGCGACACATGCATGGTGTGCGTGAAACGGTTGACGGCGAATATGAACAAAGCGAGAGGGTTGCGGGACTGCAGCTACTTCATCTTTTCCTCTACATGGCACAGCAACATGTCGGCTCGTCCTTAGGCAACAATGCGTCCTCATCTTCGCAGGAAAACAGCAACGACGGTGCATTCTGGCCACCATGATCACAAGCGACGAAGAACTTCAATGATCGCCGTCAAACGACTAGCCGATCAGGAAGCTCGAAGCACCATCTTCTCCGTCCTCCTTGCTCCTTCCCTACAAATCCCTCCGCCAAGCATCCTAATTTATACAGAAAGAAATACAATTAAAAAAAAAAAAAAAAAGGTGGTGGTGCATCTGGCACCACGTGAAAAAAGAGGAATGGTGGATCAAAGATGGGGTACAGCCCCATGGAAGATCAAAAGTTTCTGGTGGTGTATGGGCACCATGTGCGGAAAGAAAAAAAAAAATTGTAAAAAATAAAAAAATAAAAAAATAAAAAAATAAAAAATAAAAAAAAATGATGGAACTTGGTGCATCCAGCACCAAAAGAAAAAAAAAAAAAAAAAAACAACAAATGCATAGAGAGAAATAGAAGGTCCATTTTATTTATTTTTCTGGAAATTTTACATAAATTTGCATTATACATAAATAAAAAAAAAAAAAAATCAAATCAAATCAAATTTACAATAGGGGATATTCAAGGACGATCAGGTGGCGCCTCACAACTCGGCAGAGCTCCAGGAAGAGAAGGCGTCGGAGGTTGGCTGTTTGAAGCCTCAGTAGTCGGTACAGCCCCAGAAGACGAAGGTAAATGATGCTGGAACAAACCCAAACCTCCGATGATCAAGTAAAATCTGACCATCAGATTCCTGCATCTGGTCAATTTTCCTCTTCATGTTTGTGGCATAGTTGTGTGCAAGCTTGTGCAACTGTTTATTCTCATGCTTGAGTCCTCTAATCTCCTGTTTGAGACTCATCACTTCAGCCGCCAACGATTCAACTTGACGGGTTCGAGCAAATAGGCGTTGGGCCATGTTGGACACAGAACCCGCACACTGCACACTAAGAGCCAGAGACTCCTTAACAGCCAACTCATCAGACCGCCTGGAAAGTAGTCTGTTATCTTTGGGAGTGACAAGGTTCCGGGCCACCACCGCAGCGGTCATATCATTCTTCATCACCGAATCCCCAACGGTAAGAGGATCAGTAGGGGATATGAAGGATGGGCGCCATATGTTATCCGGAGAAGACGGGACTACCTCTTCACCAAGGTTCAAATCAAAACGACGGTCGGAGGGTCCAGACATTTTCAAAGTATTGAAGGAAGAAGAGATCGGACAAATCAAGATCTTAGAAGTACAAGAGGGGAGTTTTCACAAGCGAAAATTCAAGTGTGCTTTGAAACGAACTGCATGCCTCTATAAAAAGCAGCACTCGACAGGATTTCAGAGATTGAAGAGGCGAGCTCAGAATTCGAAGAGGCCATTCAAAAAATCGAAGAGGCCATTCAAAAATCGAAGAAGCAAGCTCAGAAATCGGAGAAGCATGTTGCTTTTCCAGACGCGTCAGCACCCGTCACACGCAAACTCAGCTTTGCGGAAATCACGGGCAATTTGTTAAAGCGCCAATCCCAGATATCGAAGAGGCGCCAGTCTTTTCAGCCTCGTCAGCACCCGTCACGCGCAAACTCAGCTTTGCGGAAATCACGGGCAATTTGTCGAAGCGCCAATCCCAGATATCGAAGAAGCGCCAGTCTTTTTCAGCCTCGTCAACACCTATCACACGCACGCTCAGCTTGATGAAAATTACGGACAATTTGTCGAAAATTCTGATAAAGAAGAAAGCACGTGAAGCCATACTGATCAATCACGCATTGGTTACCGACACGAGTAAAAGAATAGTACCTCTACAGGTACTAACGAATTTCCTATAACTGTCCACCTTCACCTTCCATAGCAAGGCAGACACACAGAGCCTCTCTTCATCTCAAAAAATGTTTTCCCAACGAAACCTCTCGAGTCATTCAGTGTTCTTTATTCCTTGGAGTACCTCTGCAAGCTAATGACTCCAAAGCAAAAGTATCTCATATCACCAGGGTAGAAAGCAAGAGTATCTCATATCATGCACTGTCCCTGTCCTTTCCTTTGTCCTTGTTCCTACCTACAAAGACAAGGATAAAGAAAACAATATGCCGGAACTTCCACTCAAACTCGGGTGAGGAACCGACTGCTTGGAACCCTTCCCTGATTGCCTACTTAGCACTGCTTTCGAGTACTCGCCTTCCACTACTGCTGTACTTTCAAAGAAGCTGCCACATCTGCTTGGAGGACAGATAAGGCAAGTGAAAATGATACCTTGCAGCATGTGGAGACAAGGTGCAGAAGGAACAAGCAGAGAAGAATGCGGTCTGCACGATCAACTCAGCAGAAGGAGTCCGAACTGAGGAACTCGAGAAGCTGCCACATCTGCCTAAAGAAACAAGCAGAGAAGAATGCAGCATGCACAGTCAACTCAGCAGAAAGAGTCTGAGATGAAGAACTCGAGAAGATGCCGCATCTGCCTGAGGACGGTGAACTCGTTTTGACCCTCAAATTCTTGGGTCGACTTACTAGGCGTTGTGGGCTGCACGTGCCGATTCACCACCCTTGAATCAAATCCTTAAATACCAAGTCACCAATTGGAAGAGGAGCCCATCAATCTCGAAGATCATACCGTTGACCAAACTACTCAGGTGTGAATTAGAAAGATTGAACAAAGCAACAAGTCGTCACCTTCACCTCGTGCCTGCTTGCCGTGTGTTCGAGTCAGCCTTCAAGAATCAAGCCTCAACGGCCCTTGAAGAAACTTCCAGCCAAATTCAAGATCAAGCCTCGACGGCCATTGAGGAAATCACAAATCTGATTCAAGATTAAGTGTCTACCACCCTTGAATCAAAACCTAGTTCAAGAATAAGCTGTGGAAAATCAACAATTGGAGGAATCTAGAAAACCCTTCAACCCAGTTCAAGATCAAAGCTGTGGAAAGTCAACAAAGCGCAACAAAATACGTGTCGATTCACCCACTACCAAAGCCAAAGATCATCTACCACATGAAGCTCCTTGTGGTCCAATTTCAACCTTCAAGATCAAGCCTCGACGGCCCTTGAAGAAATTTCAAACAACAATTCAAGATCAAGCCTCAACGGCCCTTGAAGAAATCTCCAGCCCAATTCAAGATCAAGCCTTGACGGCCCTTGGATCGACATCTACAGTAAGGGACTTCAAAACATATCTCCTACACGTGACAAACACATGTATACGACGTGCCTTGAAGTGGGGGCATTTGTAGACATCGAAATTTCGGTAAATAAATGTTGACCGATAAATCAAAGTGTCAACGCTCATGTATTACATAAATTTTACACGTAGCGTGTGACTCAACGAAAATTGAAATGAGTTGGAAAAGTCATCAAATAGGACACGTGTCAACACCTGGCAGAAACGACTTATTTCATCTGGAATATTATATTCAAAATTAGGCCTTGGAAAATTCTATAAATACAAGCCCATTTCATTCATTTAAGGGGATGGATATTACACCTTGAAGCTCTGAAGCTCTGAAACCCCGAAGCTCTCAAGCATCTAGGTTCCCGAAGAATCAAGAAAGCCTTCTTCGTTCTTCGTTCATCGTTCTTCCAAGATCAAGCCCCAACGGCCCTTTGGATCAACAATCATCCACCAATTCAAGATCAAGCCCCGACGGCCCTTGAAGAAAGTGTTCTTCGTTCATCGTTCTTCCAAGATCAAGCCCCGACGGCCCTTGGATCAACCATCCACCAATTCAAGATCAAGCCTCGACGGCCCTTGAAGAAAGCACCATCGTTCATCATCCGTTCATCCAAGATCAAGCCCCAACGGCCCTTTGGATCAACAACGTCGACAAATCCACACATCCAACCGTTCTTCAAGATCAAGCCCAAAAGCCCTTGAAGATTCGTTCATCACTGTTCTTCAAGATCAAGCCCAAAAGCCCTTGGAGATCCGTTCATCACTGTTCTTCAAAGATCAAGCCCAAAAGCCCATTTGAAGATCCGCTCAAGTCCACCTTCAAGATCAAGTCCACGGCCCTTGAGAACGTTCATCCTTAGATCAAGCCCAACGGCCCTTTGGATCAATCGCACATCCACCAATCAACACCTTACGGAGATCGAATCAGAGGATCAAAATAGAGAGAGATTGTAACCCAAAATCATCAAATACAAATATTTGTTTGTGCGCGTTGTTCTTGTCTCTTTCGTTTCAGGAATTTTCCGTGTTCACACTCGTGTGCCCACACATCCAACGAAGCATCCTCATCTCCGCTACACCCATTTTGTGTACGTGTTGATGTTTCATGCCCCTATTTTATTGCTGTAGTGTTGCTTCCCAATACCAGTCCAGATGAAACCGTAAACCTCAAGCAACTAGCCCGTCTATGTTCATCCATTTTACGTCCAATTTGTATCCAAAACACCAAAACTAGGCATTTGTGTCCTCGAGCCAAGTTGTCCCTGTGTATAAGCAGTCCATCTCGGAGAAACGAGGTGAATTATGCGGCCACCGTGTGATATAGATTGCAATGAGTATCATGATTCAGTCAAACAAAATACCAGATGCTCAAAACAAGGTAAATTCGTGCAATCAATTTCCCGGCCTTTTTATTTTTTTGAAGAAAATTCCGTTTCCGTATGGTTTGAATGCCTTAAACAAGTATTTTAGTTGTATGTGTATTTTAGTTGAAGATGTGAAGAAGGAATATTAGGAGTGTTTTGATAGGTTGTAATGTTACTGAAAGATTATGATGAACATTCTTTGCTTTTTGGTCAGTGCGGGTTCAATATGGCTGTTTTGTTTCACGTTTCGTTCAGGTTCTTAATATGGATGCGGATGCTGCAAAACCGCACGGGAATCTCTTGACCTAGCATTTCAGATGTCCAACATTCTAGACACAGGGCTGGACCGTCACACCCTTTCCATCCTCATTGCATTATGTGATTTGGGTCTCAACCCTGAGGCATTGGCTGCCGTTGTTAAGGAACTTCGAAGAGAACCCGTTCCACTTCCGCCATCAGATGCTGCCGGTACTGTACTATGAACTGGTTTTTGTATTCTTGATTTCTCTGGAACATAAACAATTGCGTACTTGTAGTATATATTCAAAGTGAATCCCATTTTCTAAGTTCGGGGGTTGTGATTACCTCCCTTTAGTTGCCTTCATCTTCTTCTTTTCTCAACCCTAATTTACTTGGTACAACATCAACAGCTCTCTCCATCTCCAAAGGCCTAAACTTTCCCTCACTCTCTCACAGGTTACTGAGTGTGTGATTAAATTAGTCTTGTTTTTCCTTTTTCTTTTTTCAAAAGGGGGACAACTGGTGGCAAGCCACAATTATCTACCCCTTCCAGCACCGGAGAGGCTATGGGGAATTTCACCCTGCTTATGGCCACAGTCAAACAGACTTACCAACTCGGAGCATCAAACCCGGAACCTCCCACATTTTCTTTGTTCCGTCTCTTTTGTGTTCATCATAACCTTAGTTCATTGAGCAGGAAAATTGCCAGAGTTGCATTAAAATGGCGCCTTCGAACTTCTGTCGATCTCAAAACTACGGTAGCTAATATGTTTTATGCTTTTACTCCATCGATTTCCTAGTTTGTTAATTGGCATTTTGTGTTATCGTGGAGGAGAGAAATTGGCATCAAACTAGTCATTCACGATGTTTGAACCTAAGACCCTGACGTACAAGTAAAAGATAAGTGTCTCCAGACCATAGTACTAAGTGACAAAGGTTCATATTCTCCATCATCATCTGGCTTATTACAAGAAATAAATGAAGGAGAGGTGAAACCAACCAGCAGTGCTCTAAAGAGAAACCAACTAATAATCCCAACTGCATCTGGCCACGTAGAAAATCCTTGAAAAGAATCCTCTTTCACATTCATCACGTCATACTGCGGATACCTTAGGGTTTGGACAATTGGATCGGAGAAGTCCTCTAACCCATGTACAATCAGTCGTCCTTTGTTGTAGACATCCCACTTAGTGACTTTGACTTGGTTAAGAGAAGCGCATCCTCTAGTGCCGGCAGGCAGGAAGTGATAACGAGAGGATGGTTGGGCAGAAGAGTGTCAACCTTGGAACCGTGAAGCGAATACGCCTCCATGGCATCTTTGTCCATCTTGAATGGCACAATATGGTACTCGAGGAGTGTCAATGGAGGCTGTGGATGGTTGGGGTTAAAGAAAACTTGGTCTTGAGGGCAAAAGAGGGGGTACAAAAAGTTTTGTGCAAATCCCATGCAGCGCTTAGAAGGTGAACTTAATTTATTTCCACTGCGTTTGGCTGGGCTAGTAGGGATTGAACAACGGATACCACGGTTTGCAGTTGAAATGAAGCCTCAGATTTCACTTATTTTCAAATATGCTGAAGATGGTTGATGCCTGAGAGACCAAATGAGTAGGCTACTGTCCACACTTTCTCCTCTTTCAATATTTGGTGCACATAGAAAAATGTATAAGCAAACATGGAAATCGTGTAATCTCCTTTTAATCGCATTTGACATCGCTTGGTCGATTACAGACTCTTCCCTTCGTGAGGGAATTTGGATACATCCTTTGATCAGATGTGGCTATTATTTCCTCCATTGCTTCTCCATCAGATTAAAAGCTAATTAAACAGAAATTAAACCAAGCTATGAATGCAGTATTGCATTTCATCTGATCATATCAGTCCAACTACTCTGCTTCTCCAACAGATATCACAATCTTAAAAGAGTAACATAAAAGTTGCTCTGTCACTTGATAGATTAAATAAATAACACATATCATACATCACTAGGCGGAGCATGAACGAATGGCTACCTGAACTGGACTCATCAGTGGAAGAACTTGCTCCAATGCAGCATTCAAGGGAAGGAACCACCGAAAGTTGTCAAAAGTGCAACAGTTTCAAACTGCATTGTGCTGGTCATAAGGATCTGTTTCGGCTATCAAAAATACAAATGAACTTCACACTGCTCTTTCTATCAATGCCAACAAAACAGGATCTGTTTCAACTATCAATTTTGTAGTCCATGCATCTGCAGAAAAACCCCTTTCCACCATTTCTTTAATCAGTCTCATCGCCCTTGATGTCTCACTGTTTTTGATAAACCCGCGAATAACTGTGTTGTACATGCAACCATCTGGAGAACAACCTTTCTCTTTCATTTCCCTAAGCAAGTTTTCTGCTTCACTGGTTAGCCCCGCATTACAAAATCCACGAATCATTATAGTATATGTCCTGGCATTATGTTGAAATCCTTTTGATGATAAATTGCGAAAGACTTCCCATGCATACTCAACTTTTCCATCTTTGCACAAACCTTCAATAAGAATACAGTACGTTATGATATCAAAGTTCAACTTCTTTCCCTCCATCTCACTTAGCAATTGCACTGCTTTGGGAAATTGTTGGTTTTCAAACAGGCCATCGAGTAAAATATTATAAGTTCGAACATTTGGAAGTTGGCCACAAGCTTGCATTTGAGAGAACAAAGTCTCTGCATCTTGTTCTCCCCATCTTGCAAAACCCATCCATAAGAGTGTTATAAGTAATTGTATTTGGAACCACTCCCCTACGAGACATTTCCAAAAAAAGCATTCGGGCATCATCAATCATTTTATGCTTACAATAACCATTTATCAATATGTTATAGCTACGAACATCAATCATGGATCCTTTGCTAAGCATTAGTTCAAAAACTTTTTTCGCCTGACCCATTTCTCCGAGCAAACAGTAACCGTCCATAAGTGTACGGTAAGTAACTGTATCAGGTTCAATATCTCTTTGAATCATCATTTCGACCACGCTCCTTGCTTTTTGGATCATTCCCTCTTTACAAACTGTATCAATCAAAACATTGAAGGTGCGCACATTTGGAAAGATACCTTTACTCACCATTTCATTCAACAATCTTATAGATTCTTTCCACTCCCCTAATTTGCAAACTCCATGAATCAAACAGTTATAAGTAATGACATCTGGGGCAATTCCTTTACTTGTCATTTCGGAGAAGAGGTTCAATGCATCAACAATTAAACAATCCATTCAAAAGTCAATGATAGTCCTTGCAAAGACTGTCAATGATTGTTATAAATAACAACGTCAGGCTTGCAACCCCTTCTTCATCTTAAGCCCTTCTTCTTATTAAGCAATTGGATAGCTCCAATGTTGCTTTCATGCAAAGTCCCTTTAGTATGCCAAGTAACCACAGTGGGCCTTCCAGTTCAGAATCCCGACAGCATCAGCCTCTCTATCCTCAAGAAGAAAGCCATCGATTCACATGTCGAACATAACTCGATCCTGTTTCCATTCGGAAGATTCAAAGAATTCCCAAGATTTTAAGAATTTTCCTCAAGACAGACAAACAAAATTTGAAAGAACCAATTTTGGGAAATGACAGAGAAAAACATGACAACCATATTGGATTGAGAGATGATGATTAGAGTAGCAGACATGATACAAAATTGGTTAAATCCGTTTTGGGCATTATGACACACCCATTTGATTTTTGATGACAACCATTGGTTTGATGACTTTTGATGAATGTTGGGAATTGATTTCAATCTCACAACGTGACCCAATATTTGAAGCGGACAACGGATTGAAGCGGACAAGAGGACGCCTTTGAAGCATTTCGTCGAACACATTGAGGGCATCCTCAAGATTGGTGTCTTTCACAAACTGGGGTGGTTGGGTGTTTCTAGATTCGGTTGAGTTAGAAGCTCGAGAGTGAAACAAACCCAAGTAACTGTTTACAAAAACAACACCAGAGGAGTGAAGAGGAGGCGACATACCTATGGCTCTAAGTCTGCGGCTGCCATAACAAGCAGCAGTTGTTGCCCACCACATCATCTTCTTCAGCAGCGCTGCGTATCGCAGAGTCCCAACCAACGTTCACCGATCGATCGATAAGACTCAAGTGCTTGCACGCGGGTACACTTCACTCCAACAGGCCTTTATTGTGTGGCCCCCGGCTACACTTTACTCCAACAGGTCTTTATTGTGTGGCCTGGAATTTTTCTCGTTGTACGGTTATTTTTTTAAATCCAGCGACTCAAATTTAATTTATTTTTTTATAAAAGCGGGATACAACGGCTCAAATCCAACGATCAAATAATATTATTAATTGATTCAAAAAGATTCAATACCAAAACTCCTCCAAAGGCTCATTGGGGTAGAGGCAGACAAAAGAGAGATTTTCGTTCGTTGTGGATCACCCGAACAAATGCAATAATTCATGAGAATAAAGTATACTTCAGTTATAGTAAATTTATTCACAATGTGTACAAGAGACAATTACTTCTTAATCGTAAAATACTTGCACAAATAGCTATATTAAATAAGAGTTGTCTTTATATGTTTTCCAATGAGATCATAAAATAAAGAGATTGGGAGGAACCCGTTGGACTAGTTTAAATGGAGTTCCCTGGAGAATAAACTTTGGTAAGATAGAGTAGAAATTAGTATGATAGAATATGATAAAGTCATCATAATGATGAAAGACGTTAAATAAAAAATAGTTATTCTTTTTCTTCCATTTTTTTTTCTTACGACAGGACATTTCGATTTTACGATTTTTTGAACAAAAAAAAAAGTTAAAAAAAACCAGCGACATGTCAAGATCCAAATTCGAATTGGTTCCTGGCCTTGGTCAGAGACCATTGTGTTCGCACCGGCAGTCCAACAAAGAGGCGAAGTGGTGGTATCTTTTTGTCCATCACGAACTAAATACCCATCCAACTAAAAATATCTCAACACTTTTTTTTTTCTTCTGAATTTGAATTTTGTTTACACCAAAACAATCGTAAAAATAAAACAAGATAAATTATAAAATAAAAAACTAATTCCAAAATTATTAGCAAAAGAAAAATCAAAGAAATACAAAAGTTTAACAAATTATAAAGTTGGGAGTGGGAATTATAAGTCCCTTACCGTTGGGGGAAAAATGACTAAACTCATACGTATAGATGAATAGCTGAAAATACGTATAGATGGATGCAAAGTCCCTTTACTTGGGTGCTGAAAGTAATCACAACCGGTTTGCAATTACCACTCTCCAACATTTTATTGAAAAGTAGCAGATTATAGTGTTGAAGGTCGTGGCATCTAGTTCAAAACCCAATTTGAAGAATTTTTCCAAAACAGGCAAACCAAACCCCATTTGGTACGAATGGCAACAACAATTAATGATGGTGTTTAGAACATAAAGATTTGGTTATTCAAAGAGATGACTGCAGAATAATGTTTCAATCTCGCAACTTGACCCAATATTTGATTGAAGTGGCCAACGGAAGGCATAGGGCGCGTTTGAAGCATTTCGTCGAACACATTGAGGACATCCTCAAGATTAGTGACTTTCGATGGCAAGACAGCCTTGGTGGTGGAAGTTTTTGGGGTTTAGCTTATGTTAAATTGATATTTAACTACTTGCTGCACGAGAGAAAGGTAATATCCTCAACATTTATTTGAAGGATTAAAAGGAAACTTCTTTTCAACTGTATTATTGTATATACACCATCTGAAATGCAGAACGGATTATCTGCCTTAAAACTATACAATTCACCATAAAGAATACAGATATCGTACATCAACATCCGTCAACGGAAAAACACTCTAAAAAGTAAGGAATTTAACAAAATGCACGGTAGAAAACCTTAACATTTATCAATTTGCCACTTTTGAAATATTACCAAATACAAAATATTAAAACTAAATTAAACAGAAATTAAACCAAGCCATGAATGCAGTGTTGCACTTCATCTCATCATATCAGTCCAAATACTCGGCTCCTCCAACAGATACCACAATCTTAAACAGTAACATAAAAGTTGCTCTGTCACTTGATGGATTAAATTAATAACATCTTACATCTCCAGGCGGAGCGTGAACGAATGGCTACCTGAACTGGACTCGTCAGTGGGAGAACTCCCTCCAACCCAGCATTTGAGGGAAGGAAGCACCCAAAGTTGTCAAAAGTGCAACAGTTTCAAACTGCATTGTGATGGTCATAAGGATCTGTTTCAGCTACCAAATAAACAGATGAACTTCACAGGGCCCTTTCTATCAATGGCAACAAAGCAATGCATCTGCAGAAAGACCCCCCTCCACCATTTCTTGAATAAGTCTCATCGCCCTTGATGTCTCACTGTTTTTGATAAACCTGCGAATAATTGTGTTGTATGTGCAACCATTTGGAGAACAACCTTTCTCTTTCATTTCCCTAAGCAAGTTTTCTGCTTCACTTGTTATCCCCACGTTACAAAGTCCACTAATCATTATAGTATATGTCCTGGCATTATGTTGAAATCCTTTTGATGATAAACTGCGAAAGACTTCCCATGCATACTCAACTTTTCCATCTTTGCACAAACCTTTAATAAGAATACTATAAGTTACGACATCAAGATTCAACTTCTTTCCCTCCATCTCGCTTAACAATTCCACTGACTTGGGAAGTTGTTGGTTTGCACACAGGCCATCCAGTAAAATAGAATAGGTTTGAACATCTGGAAGTTGGCCACAAGCATGCATTTGAGAGAACAAAGTCTGTGCATCTTGTATTCTACCCATCTTGCAAAACCCATCCGTAAGAGTGTTATAAGTAACTGTATCTGGAAACACTCCCCTATGAGACATTTCCAAAAAAAGCATTAGGGTATCATCAATAATTTTATGCTTACAATAACCATTTATCAGTATGTTATAGCTACGAACATCAATCACGGAGCCTTTGCTAAGCAACAGTTCAAAAACTTTTTTTGCCTGACCCATTTCTCCAAGCAAACAGTAGCCATCCATAAGTGTATGGTAACTGTATCAGGTTTAATATCTCCTTGAATCATCATGTCAACCACGCTCCTTGATTTTGGATCATTCCCTCTTTACAAACTGTATCAATCACAACATTAAAGGTGCGCACATTTGGACAGATACCTTTACTCACCATTTCATTCAACAATCTTATACATTCTTTCCACTCCCCTAATTTGCAAACTCCATGAATCAAACAGTTATAAGTAATGACATTTGGGGCAAATCCTTTACTTGTCATTTTGGAGAAGAGGTTCAATGCATCAATAATTAAAGTATCCTTGCAAAGACTATCAATGATTGTGCTATAAATAAGTTAACTACGTTAGGCTTGCAATCTCCTTCTTCCATCTTATTACGCAATTGGATAGCTCCAATGTTGTTACCTTTCATGCAAAGTCCCTTTACTAGTATGGCAAAAGTAACCGCATTAGGCTTCCAGTTAACACTCTCCATCATTTTATTCAGAATCCCGACAGCATCAGCCTCTCTATCCTCGAGAAGAAAGCCGTTGATTAGAGTGTTGAAGGTCGTGACATCAGGTTCAAAACTTAATTTGAAGAATTTTCCCAAGAATGACAAACCAAACCCCATTTGGTTGAGATGACCGTAGCAATTGATGATAATGTTCAGAGTATAAACATCAGGACGAATTCCTGACACACCCATTTGGTTATTCAACGAGATAACTGTGGAATAAAATGTTTCAATCTCGCAACTTGACCCAATATTTGATTGAAGCGGACAACGGAAGGCAGAGGACGCCTTTGAAGCATTTCGTCGAACACATTGAGGGCATCCTCAAGATTAGAATGAAACAAACCCAGGGAATTGTTGACGAAAATAACAACAGAGGAGTCAAGAGAAGGCGGCATACCTCTGGCTCTGAGTCTGCGGCTGCCATAACAAGCAGCAGTTGTTGCCCACCGCATCATCTTCTTCAGTAACTCAACTATGCGAGTCGCAGAGGCTCAACCAACGTTCACTGATTGATCGACAAGACTCGAGTGCGTCCGTCCGTCCGTGTACATTTATCGAATTCCACCTAAACTTCACTTTATGTTGTTGAGTTTCGAGAAAGATTTTCCTTTTTCTTCCACCGGAAAAGAACACAAACAATTCCTTTCTAAATAGTTGCCGCCTGATATTGTTTGACATGTTCCCGGTGAAGTGTTATTCAATCTCGGTAAAGTCCAATCTAATGGCCCCAGATCGGACAATTTTTTTATTGTGTCCGGAACACGAGGAGGGTACACTACGTGTTGTGAGAAATTTTATTTTTTAAGTTATTAATTTTTTAACACATATCTCACCATTTATATAATGACACGCGATATACCACTCCGTGTACCGATCATTTTCAAATCTCACCCCAAATCAGGCAACGATTACCAAACAGTAACCATACATAAGCCTGTCTCCAAGGGGTTGAAAAAAAAACACAAAATTTGGGCCCAAAGCATCTCTGAGGAATGTATTTTGGGGTGAGAAAATGGGACCTTGGGTTTGAGGGTGGGAATTTGGGTCTGCTATCCCCCCGTCCCGGATGGACGAGGGAAGGAATTGGGCCGAAGTAGGGATGGGTTCGGTTTAAATCGGTTCGGTTTTTTACCAAAACCGAAACCAAACCGAAATTTCGGTTAGGTTCGGTTCGGTTTTTTTTCGGTTCGGTTTTTTCCGGTTCGGTTTCGGTTTTTTGTTTTTTATTTTTTCAAAAAATGAAAAACATTGAAATTTTAAATTTTAACATATCCAACACAATCATAATATAAGCATTCTAACTAGAATCAAAGACAATGAAAATAAACATTTAAAGTTGGACTAAAATCATCAATCAAGTTTTCCAAAGTCCAAACTAACAACCTCACAACACAAAAATCGTACAAATGACTTAGAAAAGTTAAATTGTACGATGTTGTTCAAAGATCAGGGTTGTTTGCTTGTAACTGCATGTTGACAACTGGATTAGTAAAAGTAATGCGTGGGTGGATTTATTTAGTGTGTGTTGGATTCTTTTCCATCACAAATTACCCAAGTAATCTACCCGAAATAAATGTTTATGGATTTTGTTACATGTTATATGAGAGTAGATTTGAAAAAGAAAGCTGGGGCAGAAGTAGATAGTGCTATGGAGATGGATGTAGGTACTTCAGGAGGAGGTTTGATTCTGGAACCTTATATGGGGGAGAAATAATAGGTTAGGGTTTAGAGTTTTTATAGGCCTTTTTTTAATATTTTGAGCTTAAAGTTTGGCAACACATTGGGTTTAGCACATTTTAACTTACAAATTGGGTTTAGAAAATAATACCCAAAACAAATAATTAAATAAAAAATTTAATTTAATTAATTCGGTTCGGTTCGGTTTTGTTCGGTTTCTAGATCACTAAAATCGAACCGAACCAAAAGAATTCGGTTCAGTTTTTTCGTTCGGTTCGATTTTTTCGGTTTCGGTTCGGTTTGGTTTTCGATTTTTTGAACCCACCCCTAGGCCGAAGCCCCCAGCTTGCAGCACCTGCACGTGCAGACTAGACGAAGGTGGGCTTCGCGCATTAGATAAAGCAGCGTAGAGAGATTGTCTGCGGGCGAGCGCAAAGCAAGCAGCCTTTCTACGACTAGATTGTGGGAAAGGGATCCTCTCCGGATCCCTTCCTCCTAATCTACTAAGTTTGGAGATCCGGACCGTTAAAATTTGATCCAACGGCTAAAGTTATTATAACTTTAAAGTGGACCCCTGTTCGTGACCGTTGGATCAAATTTCAATAGCCCGGATCGCAGGACTTGGTGGATTAGGAGGAAAGGATCCGGAGATCAAATTTCAACAACTCTCCCCATCTCCAAAGGCCTAAACTTTCCTTCACTCTCTCACAGGTTACTGAGTGCGTGATTAAATTAGTCTTGCTTTTCCTTTTTCTTTTTTCAAAAGAGGAACAACTAGTGGCAAGTCACAGTTATCTACTCATTTCGAGACCGGAGAGGCTATGGGGAATTTCATCCTGCCTGTGACCATAGTCAAACAGACTCACCAGCTCAGAGCATCAAACCCGGAACCTTCCACATTTTCTTTGTTCCGTCTCTTTTGTGTTCGTCATAACCTTAGTTCATTGAGCGGGAAAATTGCCGGAGTTCCATTAAAATGGCGCTTTCGAACTTCTGTCGATCTCAAAACTAGGGCAGCTAATATGTTTTATGCTATTACTCCGTCGATTTCCTAGTTTGTTAATTAGCATTTTGTGTTATCGTGGAGGAGAGATATTGGCATCAAACTTGTCATTCACGATGTTTGAACCTAAAACTCTTGACATACAAATAAAAGATAAGTGTCTCTAGACCATAGTACTAAGTGGCAGAGATTCATATTCTCCATCATCATATGGCTTATTACAAGAAATAAATGAAGAAGAGGTGAAACCAGCCAGCAGTGCTCGAAAGAGAAACCAACTAATAATCCCAACTGCATCTGGCCACGCAGAAAATCCTTGATAAGAATCCTCTTCCACATTCATCACGTCATATTACAGATACCTTAGGGTTTGGACAATTGGATCGAAGAAGTCCTTTAACCCATGTACAATCAGTCGTCCGTTGTTGTAGACATCCCACTTAGTGACTTTGACTTGGTTAAGAGAAGTGCATCCTCTAGTGCCGGCAGGCAGGGAAGTAACAACGACAGGATGGTCGGGCAGAAGAGTGTCAACCTTGGAACCGTGAAGCAAATACGCCTCCATGGCATCTTTGTCCATCTTGAATGGCACAATATGGTACTCGAGCAGTGTCAACGGACGCTGTGGATAGTTGGGGTTAAAGAAAACTTGGTCTTGAGGGCAAAAGAGGGGGTACAAAAAGTTTTCTGCAAATCCCGTGCAGCGCTTAGAAGGTGAACTCAATTTATTTCCACTGTGTTTGGCTGGGCTAGTAGGGATTGAACAACAGATACCACAGTTTGCAGTTGAAATGAAGCCTCAGATTTCTCTTATTTTCAAGAATGCTGAAGATAGTTGATGCCTGAGAGACCAAATGAGTTGTGGCTACTGTCCACACCTTCTCCTCTTTCAATATTTGGTGCACATAACATACAAAAATGTATAAGCAAACATGGAAATCGTGTAATCTCCTTTTAATCGCGTTTGACATCACTTGGTCGATTACAAACGCTTCCTTTCGTGAAGGAATTTGGATACATCTTTTGATCAGATGTGGCTATCATTTCCTCCATTGCTTCTCCATCAGATTCATATCCTATAACCAAAAATAAACTATGAAAGCTAATTAAACAGAAATTAAACCACGCCATGAATGCAGTATTGCATTTCATCTGATCATATCAGTCCAATTACTCTGCTTCTCCAATGGATATCACAATCTTAAAAGAGTAACATAAAAGTTGCTCTGTCAATTGATAGATTAAATAAATAACACATATAATACGTCACTAGGCGGAGCATAAACGAATGGCTACCTGAACTGGACTCGTCTGTGGAAGAACTTGCTCCAATGCAGCATTGAAGGAACAACCGAAAGTTGTCAAAAGTGCAACAGTTTCAAACTGCATTGTGCTGGTCATAAGGATCCGTTTCATCTATCAAAAATACAAATGAACTTCACACTGCTCTTTCTATCAAAGCCAACAAAACGGGATCTGTTTCAACTATCAATTCTGTAGTCCATGCATCTGCAGAAAAACCTCTTTCCACCGTTTCTTTAATCAGTCTCATCGCCCTTGATGTCTCATTGCTATTGATAAACCCGCGGATAATTATGTTGTACGTGCAACCATTTGGAGAACAACCCTTCTCTTTCATTTCCCTAAGCAAGTTTTCTGCTTCACTTCTTAGCCCCGCGTTACAAAATCCACTAATCATTATAGTATATGTCCTGGCATTACGTTGAAATCCTTTTGATGATAAACTGCGAAAGACTTCCTATGCATACTCAACTTTTCCATATTTGCACAAACTTTCAAGAAGAATACGGTACGTTACGATATCAAAGTTCAACTTTTTTCCCTCCATCTCGCTTAGCAATTGCACTGCTTTGGGAAATTGTTGGTTTTCAAACAGGCCACCGAGTAAAATATTATAAGTTTGAACATCTGGAAGTTGGCCACAAGCTTGCATTTGAGAGAACAAAGTCTCTGCATCTTGTATTCTCCTCATCTTGCAAAACCCATCCATAAGAGTGTTATAAGTAACTGTATCTGGAAACACCCCCCTATGAGACATTTCCAGAAAAAGCATTCGGGCGTCATCAATCATTTTATGCTTACAATAACCATTTATCAATATGTTATAGCTACGAACATCAATCATGGATCATTTGCTAAGCATTAGTTCAAAAACTTTTTTCGCCTGACCCATTTCTCCGAGCAAACAGTAACCGTCCATAAGTGTACGGTAAGTAACTGTATCAGGTTCAATATCTCTTTGAATCATTATTTCGACCACGCTCCTTGCTTTTTGGATCATTCCCTCTTTACAAATTGTATCAATCAAGACATTGAAGGTGCGCACATTTGGAAAGATACCTTTACCTCACCATTTCATTCAACAATCTTATAGATTCTTTCCACTCCCCTAATTTGCAAACTCCATGAATCAAACAGGTATAAGTAATGACATCTGGGGCAATTCCTTTACTTGTCATTTTGGAGAAGAGGTTTAATGCATCAACAATTAAAGTATCCTTGCAAAGACTATCAATGATTGTGCTATAAATAACCATGTTAGGCTTGCAATCTCCTTCTTCCATCTTATTAAGCAATTGGATAGCTCCAATGTTGTTACCTTTCATGCAAAGTCCTTTTACTAGTATGGCAAAAGTAACCGCAGTAGGCTTCCAGTTACCACTTTCCATTATTTTATTCAGAATCCCAACAGCATCAGCCTTTCTATCCTCGAGAAGAAAGCCGTTGATTAGAGTGTTGAAGGTCGTGACATGAGGTTCAAAACTTAATTTGAAGAATTTTCCTAAGATAGACAAACCAAACCCCATTTGGTTGAGATGACAGCAGCAATTAATGATAATGTTCAGAGTATAAACATCAGGACGAATTCCTGACATGCCCATTTGGTTATTCAACGAGATGACCGTGGAATAATGTTTCAATCTCGCAACTTGACCCAATATTTGATTGAAGCGGACAACAGAAGGCAGATGACGCCTTTGAAGCACTTCGTCGAACACATTGAAGGCATCCTCAAGATTAGAATGAAACAAACCCAAGTAACTGTTTACAAAAACAACTACAGATGAGTCAAGAGAAAACGGCATACCTCTGGCTCCGAGTCTGCGGCTGCCATAACGAGCAGCAGTTGTTGCCCACCGCATCATCTTCTTCAGATCGGGCCGACTGAGCAACGATTACCAAACAGTAACCATACATAAAGCTATCTCCAAGAGGTTGAAAAACATCTCTACGGAATGTATTTTTGGGGTGAGAAAATGGGACCTTAGGTTTAGGGGTGGGAATTTAGGTCTGCTATCCCCTCGCCCCGGATGGATGAGGGAAGGAATTGGGCCGATGGCCGAGCCCCAGCTTGCAGCACCTGCATTGGATGCAGCAGCGTGGAGAGATTGTTTGCGGGCGAGCGCAAAGCAAGCAGCCTTTCTACGACAGGTTTTTATTGTGCGCCGTTTAGGAGCCAATGGATGGAGTGCGTTCCTGGGTTCTGATCCAGTGTGTCGCGCTCAACTACAGTCCACTCCAGCAGGTTTTTATAGTGTGCCTAGATTTTTTTACCATTGTACGATTATTTTTTTAAATCCAACTTCTCAAATCTAATTTAATCATTTTTTCGATAAAAATGAGATCATAATTAATTGATCCAAAAAGAATCCAACACCAAAACTCCTTGGAGGAAATTTTATTTGAACTCATATAACCTCTTTTTACACCCAACTTAAACTTTAAATGTTAATTTTCTTTTTTACCCTAGTACATAATTACCATCAAATACAAGATAAATTTAACAATACAACTAAAATTTATCAATAAACCCAAACAAACACCAAAGCACAAACAAATCAACAACAACAGCAATGGGAGATGCCATAGTGCTGAGATAGTCCAGAGGAGATGCCATAGTGTTGAGGTCAAACAAATCAAATGACATGCAGAAGAGGATTCTATGGCTCGTTCCCTTGTCTCCTCATGGACTTGTACTAGTACATTTCCTATGACATATCAAGCAGAACGACCATGAATCGTTTAAGTTGAAATTGTCGAGGGCTTGGAAATCTTGGGACAGTTGGAGCTTTGAAGAGAATAATTATCTCTTTGATCCAACTGACCATCACAAACATATATCATCCTACCTTTATTTTCATCCATGCATGCATGCGGTAAATCAAACTAAAAGATATGAAATTTCATCCAACAAAATAAATCCTAAAGATAAATATTCATCCCTAAAAATAGTCGGTTAAATCCTGCACTTAATTGATAGATAGTCACAACCAGTGGCGATGTCAGGATTTGCCGGGGCAAAATTCAAAAGAGTGTAATGTTCAATTGAAGCAGTTGCTTTCACATTAGATAGTGCAAAGTTTTGAATCAATATTCATACTAGAAAATAGTCTCTCCACCAAAGCAGTTGTAAGCAATAATATCAAAGCCAATGTAAGAAGCTTAAATTGGCTAGTATTAAATCCTAAAAAATGTTAGGCGCTAATCAAACAGTGGACTGGAATCTAGCAGCTAGGTGCCTAGGTGAGATCTAGGTACGAGCCTAGATGGATTTAAATTATCATAAAATAAGCATTAAACAATATTTACATTGTTTTTAAAAAGTAATACAATATTTTATAAATAATGTGAGAATTTAAGATAAACACGGTGGGAGTCTTAAAAGATAAAATAAAAATACATACAAGAATTTTAAAAAAAAAGAAAAAAAAAAGAGAGAAATGGGTTAATAACCCACAAAAAAAGTGGGGTCAGAAAAGAAAAAATGGGGGGGGATGGGTAAACAAACAAGTGGGGCAGAAAGATAAAGACTGAAAGAGAAGTGGTGGTCAGCAAACTCAGCATAGTATTTTAACAGAGAAAAAAAGGTACACAAACAGTCAACATGATAATACTGGGGTAAGGTGTCAGTACCCAATTTTTACTGACTTAGGTGGCTCAATAATTGTCCAACACCTGTCTTTAAAACTCACACCTAAATTCTTGCTATCCTGATAACCAAATGGATAATTCTTGCCTACTGATATGTCAATAAACCATTTTTATTGACCATTATATAGCTTAATAGAAATGTTACACTTGTCTATTTGATTGCTCCAAGCTCCTACTATTTTGATAACCAAACATCCTACTTGCTCCCATAACCTAATAACCAAACAACATTCTTCTTCCTCTCATAAACCCCACCAGACATGGCTGACCAACCCTTACCTCCTCCAACCTCTGTCGTCCTACATCCCCACTCTCGTCTTTTTTTCTAGTCTCTTCTCGCCGACCCCACCTCGTCTCCTCCTCCAAGCTCTGGGGCTGAACTAGTCGGGTTTTTTGGCGAGAGAAAAGGCTGAACCAAAGCTCCAGTCGTGTTTTCTAACGAGGGGAGTGGCGGCTGCCACTCCTCACCCTCACGTGGCTTCGCCACTAGTCACAACAAGAGAGAGGACTTCAACTTAAACCAAAGCGGGAAGAAAAATAAGAATAAATAAACAATGGCATTTAGAATTCAGATTCATACCATTTGGAACAAACAAAAAAACCCCTAAACTAGTGTGACAAGCTCTTTTGCAATATGATTGCAAGGAGATCATATTGTTTGGATTAATCATTTGTCCACTTTTTTCGTAGTCCTAACTTGAAATGCACTTCTCTTTGCAAATTTTGGGTTTTTATTTCTAAATGAGTGTACAGATAAATCTACCAGTTGAATTAGGTTTGTGAGGGTAATTTAGGTAGTAAATATGGTTTAAAGAGATATTGATGGTTTAATTAAAGTTAATACGGGTGAAAAGAGTAAGTTGGGTGTAGAAAGAGATTATATGGGTTCAAATAAAATTACCTTCAAAATACCCATCCAACTAAAAATATCTCCACACTTTTTATTCAGAATATGAATTTTTTTTTACATCAAAATGTTCCTAAAAATAAAACAAGATAGATTAATAAAAAAAATCCAAAATCCAAAATTATTAGCAAAAAAGTACAGAAGTTTGACAAATTATAATGTTGGGTTGGAAATAGCCTAAGAGTACGATAAGTAACTGTATTAGGTTCAATATCTCTTCGAGTAATCATTTTGACCACGTTTTTTTCTTCCTTGACCAACCCCTCCTTACAAAGGTTGTCAACCAGGATATTGAAAGTAAGCACATTTGGAGAGGTATTTTTGCTCACCATTTCATTCGACAATCCTGTAGATTCTTTCCACTCCCACCTTATTTGCAAACTCCGTGAATCAAAGAGGTTCAGTGCATCAATAATTAAAGTATCCTTACAAAGACTAAAAATAATTAGGTTAGGTTTGCAAGATTAGTGACTTTCGCAACACATTGAGGACAACGGAAGGCAGAGGACAACGGAAGGCAGAGGACACGTTTGAAACATTTCGTCCAACACATTGAGGGCATCCTCAAGATTAGTGACTTTCGCAAGGCAAAACAGCCTTGGTCTTGGTGGGGGAGTTTTTGGGGTTTAGCCTATGGTAAATTGATATTTAACTACTTACTGCACAAGAGAAAGGTAATATCCTCAACATTTATTCGAATGATTAAAATGAAACTTCTTTTCAACTGCATTAAAACATAACAGTATAACCAGTAAAAAATTTATGGACAGAAGAAAAACCACAAACCTTTTGAGCTTCAACCGCAGAATTTGAATCTACCACCTTATTAGATGGAACAGGATAACCAGCCAGAACTTCAACTTCTGGTCCTACATCAAGGATAGCGGGAGCACGGATGAAAACTCCACGAAATACTTGAGGACCACCTTCCGTAGAAGCAAGCTCTGGTACTGCAAGTTCAGCCTCAAAGCTCTGAATCTGCAGGTTTTTGGTTTACCAAAAGCAAAACAATTACCACATTGAATATCGAAATCACGTGAACTTGAGAATAGAGAAGTGAGTGCATTACCTGACTGCCAAAGAAGTTTCTGTGGACGGTGCAATCTAGGCCGCCAACAAGTTCCTGTCCTCCTATTTTCTGTCCTGAAAAGTGAAAATCATGCCACTCCTCTCATCACATTTATAAAAACAATTGAACATATCAATAACTTAAAGGATTCATAACAGCAACGAAAGAAAGAAGGAACATGAACGTGCCTGTAGCTTTGTTTGCTAAGAAAATAAGACCTGCACAAGTCCCCCAAACAGGCTTCCCCATTTTAACAAACTCACGCAGAGCAGGAAACTGTCAACAAAATAAACCAATATCAAACAAAGGAACAAATCAAAACAAACCCAGAAGCTGAGAGAGAGAGAGAGAGAGAGACCAGGTTGTGGTACTCAGCGAGCTTAGCCATGGTGGTGCTCTCCCCTCCAGGGATTATAAGGGAGGCCACGGTTTCAAGCTGCTCTGGCTTCCTTATCTCCACGCCCTTCACCCCAAGCCTTCTCAGAGCTACAACACACACAAACAGTCGCACAGTGCATCAGAAAAACATAGTGCAATTATATCGAATGCATTTGCTGCGAGAGAGGAAATATTGAGATTCAAAACTTAAAGAGAATTCTGATTTGAGTTCTTGATTGCACGTTTTTTTCAATGACTTGATTATTATATGGAAGGAGTCTATTAGTCGTCTGCCAGTTTAGAGTAAGGGCTGGGCACTTAGAACTAAAAGCTGAAACCGAAACACAAATTAAATTGAACCGCACTGGACAATTCTGTTTTTGCAATTTTGAAACGATTTTGGTTTAAAACTAAACGGCAATATGAAAAGGTGGTATGTTCACACTCCTCTCAATTTTCGATCGTCAAATCGATTGATTGAGAAAGATCAATTAACAAAAATCAACAATGATGTGTAGAGATAAAAATGGATGTGTGAACAGTCATATGAAAAACGATTTTGTTTCGGTTTTGACCATCTAAATCCTCACCGAGACTGAACCATACAACAAAAATTAAATACATATTTAATTTAATACCATTATTAGGTAATTTATATTGTAGGTTTTCTTTGTTTTGTTATTTCAATGTGTTTTATTGCTTTTGTAGGCCTTTTAAAGTTTATAATAACTAATGTAATTTATATTGCTTATGTATTTGTATTATGTAGAGGTGGCCATTTTGAATTCAAGTATCGCATCTCTTACTCTTAACCCATAACCACATCAACAAGCTCCAAGGCATCTCAAGCTTCTAGTTCACAAGGTTCAGTGACTCCTCATCCATCAAATTCAATTTCATAAGGTCCAAGGTCTTCCCAAGTATCATCTTCTCAAGCTCGTTCACAAGTTCAAATGCCTCTTAACCTTCGAAGAGTAAGTGTTCAAAAGGAAAGGGAAAGAGAAAGGGTTGAACGATGCAAAATATTGACTTAAAAGTTGAAGCACCAAAACCTTTTTGTTGAATTGCATGAACCATATATTTTTTCAGGTTGTATTACTAATCTCATAAGGCATTTTGTATTGAAGTTTGTTTGAACTTTAGTTTTAGTGTGGTAAACTTGACCTTTTCAATTGGGTGTTAGAGGAACTGCAGAATTTTGAGAAATGGATCGAGTCCTCCTCCTATAGCTATCATTTCCTCCATTGCTTCTTCCATCAGATTCATATTTATTACCAAAAACAAACAATAAGAGCTAAATTAAACAGAAATTAAACCAAGCCATAAATCCAGTATTGCATTTCATCTGATCATATCAGTCCAAATACTTTGCTTCTCCAACAGATATCACTCTTAAAAGAGTAACATAAAAGTTGCTCTGTCATTTGATAGATTAAATAAATAACACATATCATACATCACTAGCGGAGCATGACGAATGGCTACCTGAACTGGACTTGTCAGTGGAAGAACTTGCTCCAATGCAGCATTCGAGGGAAGGAACCACCGAAAGTTGTCAAAAGTGCAACAGTTCCAAACTGCATTGTGATGGTCATAAGGATCTGTTTCGGCTATCAAAAATACAAATGAACTTCACACTGCTCTTTCTATCAATGCCAACAAAGTGGGATCTGTTTCAACTATCAATTCTGTAGTCCATGCATCTGCAGAAAAACCCCTTTCCACCATTTCTTTAATAAGTCTCATTGCCCTTGATGTTTTGCAGTTATTGATAAACCCGCGAATAATTGTGTTGTACGTGCAACCATTTGGAGAACAACCTTTCCTTTTCATTTTCCTAAGCAAGTTTTCTGCTTCACTTGTTAGCCCCGCGTTACAAAATCCACTAATCATTATAGTATATGTCCTAGCATTATGCTGAAATCCTTTTGATGATGAACTGCGAAAGACTTCCCATGCATATTCAACTTTTCCATCTTTGCACAAACCTTTAATGAGAATACCATACGTTATGATATCAAAGTTCAACTTTTTTCCCTCCATCTCGTTTAGCAATTGCACTGCTTTGGGAAATTGTTGGTTTTCAAACAGGCCATCGAGTAATATTATAAGTTCGAACATTTGGAAGTTGGCCACAAGCTTGCATTTGAGAGAACAAAGTCTCTGCATCTTGTGTTCTCCCCATCTTGCAAAACCCATCCATAAGAGTGTTATAAGTAATTGTATTTGGAACCACTCCCCTACAAGACATTTCCAGAAAAAGCATTCGGGCGTCATCAATCATTTTATGCTTACAACGGAAGCTAGCAATCCGGACCGTATTGAAAAGGTTCCTGAGACACAGCATGGAAGAGTCACAATATTAAGAAACGAGGTCCAAGAATGAAGAAGGGGTAGAATTACTGAATGAATACGAGCTGTGGCTAATAACCATTTATCAATATGTTATAGCTACGAACATCAATCATGGATCCTTTGCTAAGCATTAGTTCAAAAACTTTTTTCGCCTGACCCATTTCTCCGAGCAAACAGTAACCGTCCATAAGTGTACGTTAAGTAACTGTATCAGGTTCAATATCTCTTTGAATCATCATTTCGACCACGCTCCTTGCTTTTTGGATCATTCCCTCTTTACAAACTGTATCAATCAAAACATTGAAGGTGCGCACATTTGGAAATATACCTTTACTCACCATTTCATTCAACAATCTTATAGATTCTTTCCACTCCCCTAATTTGCAAACTCCATGAATCAAACAGTTATAAGTAATGACATCTTGAGCAATTCCTTTACTTGTCATTTCGGAGAAGAGGTTCAATGCATCAACAATTAAAGTATCCTTGCAAAGACTGTGAATGATCGTGCTATAAATAACTACGTCAGGCTTGCACCCCCCTTCTTCCATCTTCTTAAGCAATTGGATAGCTCCAATGTAGTTACCTTTCATGCAAAGTCCCTTGACTAGTATGCCAAAAGTAACCACAGTGGGCTTCCAGTTACCACTCTCCATCATTTTATTCAGAATCCCGACAGCATCAGCCTCTCTATCCTCAAGAAGAAAGCCATTGATTAGAGTGTTTAAGGTCTTGACATCGGGTTCAAAACCCAATTTGAAGAATTTTCACAAGACAGACAAACCAAACCCCATTTGGTTGAGATGACAATAGCAATTGATGATAATGTTCAGAGTATAAACACCAGGACGAATTCCTGACACACCCATTTGGTTATTCAACGAGATGACCGTGGAATAATGTTTCAATCTCACAACTTGACCCAATAGTTGAGTGAAGCGGACAAAGGAAGGCAGAGGACGCCTTTGAAGCATTTCGTCGAACACACTGAGGGCATTCTCAAGATTAGTGACTTTCGCAAACTGGGGTGGTTGGGTGCTTCTGGATTCGGTTGATTGAGAAGCTCGAGAATGAAACAAACCCAAGTAATTGTTTACGAAAACAACAACAGAAGAGTGAAGAGAAGGCGGCATACCTCTGGCTCTGAGTCTGCGGCTGCCGTAACAAGCAGCAGTTGTTGCCCACCGCATCATCTTCTTCAGATCGGACCGACTGAGCAACGATTATCAAACAGTAACCATACGTAAGGCTGTCTCCGAGGGAGGCAGACTCCTGCCAAAATATTGAAGTGGCTTAATTTTGATTATACAAAATAGAAGAGTATGGGAAATGGGAGGGGAAATGAGATGACAGAGTGGAAATGCAGAGAATCTGCCTCTGTCTCGGAGGGGTTGAAAAAAACAAAAAATACATCTCCGAGGACTGTATCTTGGGGGTGAGAAAATGGAACCTTAGGTTTGGGGGTGGGAATTTGGGTCTGCTATTCCCCCGCACCGGATGGATGAGGGAAGGAATTGGGCCGAGGGCCTCAGCTTGCAGCACCTGAACGTGCAGACTAGACAAAGGTGGGCTTCGCGCATTAGATGCAGTAGCGTGGAGAGATAGCCTAAGTGTATGGTTCAATCGAAACGATTGCTTTCATATTAGATAGTGTAAAGTTTTGAATCAATATTCATACTGAAAAATAATCTCTCCACCAAAGTAGTTATAAGAAATAATATCAAAGCCACTGTAAGAAGCTTAAATTGGATAGGATTAGATCCTAAAAAATGTTAGGCGCTAATCAAACAGTGGACCGAAACCTAGTAGCTAGGTGTCTAGGCAAGATCTAGTTAGGAGCCTAGATGGATTTAAATTATCATAAAATAAGCATTAAACAATATTTACATTGTTTTTATAAAGTAATACAATATTTATAAATAATGTGAGAGTTTAAGATAAATACGGTGGGAGTCTTAAAAGATAAAATAAAAATACATACAAGAATAAAAAATAATAAAATAATAAAAAACAGAGAGAAATGGGTTAATAAACCACAGAAAAAGGTGGGGTCAGAAGAGAAGAAAAAAAAAAGGGATGGGATGGGTAAACAAACAAGTGGGGCAGAAAGATAAAGACCAAAAGAGAAGTGGTGGTCAGCAAACTCATCACAGTATTTTAAGAGAAAAAAAAAAGTAAACAAACGGTCAACATGATAATACTGGGGTAAGGTGTCAGTACCCAATTTTTACTGAATTAGGTGGCCCAATAATTGTCCAGCACCTGTCTTTAAAACTCACACCCAAATTCTTGTTATCCTGATAACCAAACGGATAATTCTTGCCTACTGATAGGTCAGTAAACAATTTTTACTAATCATTATATAGCTCAATAGAAATGTTACACCTGTTCATTTGATTGCTCTAAGCTCCTGCTATTTTGATAACCAAACATCCTACTAGCTCCTATAACCTGATAACCAAACAACAATTTTCTTCCTCCCATAAACCCCACCAGACATGGCTGACCAACTCTCACCTCCTCCAACCTCTGTCGTCGTACAACCCCACTCTCGTCTTCTTTTCCAACCTCTTCTCGCCGACCCCACCTCGTCTCCTCCTCCAAGATCTCCTCTCCGGTTCGAAGGGGCTAAACCAGAGCTCCACTCCTCGCTCTCACGTAGTTTCGCCACTGGTCACAACCAAAGAGAGGACTTCAACTTAAACCAAAGCGGGAAGAAAAATAAGAATAAAGAAACAATAGCATTTATAATTCAAATTCAGACCATTTGAAACAAACAAAAAACCCCCTAAACTAGTGCGACAAGCTCTTTTGCAATATGATTGCAAGGACGATCATATTGTTTGGATTAAGAATTTGTCCACTTTTTCGTAATCCTAACTTGAAATGGACTTCTCTTTGCAAATTTTGGGTTTTTATTTCTAAATGAGTGTACGGATAAATCTACCAATTGAATTTGGTTTGTGAGGTAATTTAGGTAGTAAATATGGTTTAAAGAGATATTGATGGTTTAATTAAAGTTAATATGGGTGAAAAGAGTAAGTTGAGTGTAGAAAGAGATTATATGGGTTCAAATAAAATTTCCTTCAAAATACCCATCCAACTAAAAATATCTCCACACTTTTTATTCAAAATTTGATTTTTTTTTTTTTTACATCAAAATGTTCCTAAAATTAAACAAGATAGATGATTAAAAATAAAATAAAAAATCCAAAATCCAAAATTATTAGTACAAAAGTACAAAAGTTTAACAAATTATAATGTTGGGTTGAAGATAGCCTAAGTGTATGGTAAGTAACTATATCGAGTTCAATATCTCTTCGAGTAATCATTTTGACCACTTTTTTTCTTCCTTGACCAACCCCTCCTTCCAAAGGTTGTCAACCAGAATAATGAAAGTAAGCACATTTGGAGAGGTACTTTTGCTCACCATTTCATTCAACAATCCTGTAGATTCTTTCCACTCCCCTTATTTGCAAACTCCGTGAATCAAAGAGGTATAGGTAATGACTTTGGGAGGAGCAATACCCTTTCTCATCATTTATGATCGAGCTATAAATAATTAAAGTATCCTTACAAAGACTATCAATGATCGAGCTATAAATAATTAGGTTAGGTATGCTAGTTCCCTCTTCCATCTTCTTAAGCAATTGATTGTTACCTTTCATGCAGAGTCCCTTTACTACGGTGCCGAAAGTAATCACAACCAGCTTGCAGTTACTACTCTCCAACATTTTATTAAAAAATGTTGCTGCCTCGGCCACTCCATCCTCAAGAAGAAAGCCGCAGATAGAGAGTGTTGAAGGTCGTGAAAACAACAATTAATGATGATGTTTAAAATATAAATACCAGGACGAACCAGAAACCCATCTGGTTATTCAAAGAGATGACTGCAGAATAATGTTTCAGCTTCGCAACTTGACCCAATAATTGATTGAAGCGGACAACGGAAGGCAGAGGACGCGTTTGAAACATTTCGTCCAACACATTGAGGGCATCCTCAAGATTAGTGACTTTCGCAAGGCAAAACAGCCTTGGTCTTGGTGGGGGAAGTTTTTGGGGTTTAGCCTATGGTAAATTGATATTTAACTACTTACTGCACGAGAGAAAGGTAATATCCTCAGCATTTATTCGAATGATTAAAATGAAACTTCTTTTCAACTGCGTTATTGTATATACACCATCTGAAATGCAGAACGGATTATCTGCATTAAAACTAAACCATTCACCTGAAGGACTACTTGTCCACCATCAAAGACCTTTAACAGATATCGTACATCAACATCCGCCAACGGAAAAACACTCTGAATAATAAGGAATTCAACAAAATGCACGGAAGAAAACCTTAACACTTATCTGTCCTCCACTATTGAAATATAGGGAGGTCAATCTTTGTTTTGTTGGTTTAAACTTAGATCTGCTCCAACAGCAACGATGCCTCCTTCTCCTGTTTCAGTTGACATCTTCAAGAAGTAACTATGCCTGCGATATTAAATACTTAGAACCTCCTGTGAATTTAGGAGAATGGCTGACAGTAAGCATATTTACCATCGAGTGTCTGCTGTCAATTCAGGATGGAAGGCAGTTGCCAGCAAATTCTTCTGTCGAACTGCTACAATCACTTTATTCTCAGGCACAGGATTCTCCTGAAATATCAAAAACTAATAAGAAAATAGCAATGAAAGAAGGTAAAACGAACTTAATATATGTCAGCAGCATGCCGCCATTGGTAATTTCATCTTAGACGAATGATACTCTGGTTTTGTATAGCAATATAACTGCATATTTGCACACCAGAACAAAAGATTTGATAGTGTCTCTTCTCTTTGCTATATACAGCAGAAGCAGTGTTACTGACAACACATGACATAACGAGGTTTGTGATTGGTGATTGTACGAGCCCAAAACTAAGCAAGATGATATAACCGTACCCATGTACATAACAAACTAGTCTATCTAATTCCAGTCAACAACTTTCAATCATAGACATATGTTTCAGACAAGACCACAAGAAATTTACCGCTTCTTGGACAAGAAAATGAACTTTTGACCATAACTTGCTCCACTATCATAAACTTGCAAACTAACTACCCTATTTTAGAAAGAGATGATGAACTTGTTCTACGATAAGTATTTCGACTCCTTCCAAAACAAGTCTTATGTTTTACAAGGAAATAGGGTTACTGAAGAAGCAAATAGAGCTGCCAACTTAAACGAAACAAATGAGGCCTTACTAAAGACTGATTACATAACAGTATAACCAGTAAAAAAATTATGGACAGAAGAAAAACCACAAACCTCTTGAGCTTCAACTGCAGAATTTGAATCCACCACCTTATTAGATGGAACAGGATAATCAGCCAGAACTTCAACTTCTGGTCCTACATCAAGGATAGCGGGAGCACGGATGAAAACTCCACGAAATACTTGAGGACCACCTTCCGTAGAAGCAAGCTCTGGTACTGCAAGCTCAGCCTCAAAGCTCTGAATCTGCAAGTTTTTGGTTTACCAAAAGTTAAACAATTACCGCATTGAATATCGAAATCACGTGAACTTGAGAATAGAGAAGTGAGTGCATTACCTGACTGCCAAAGAAGTTTCTGTGGACGGTGCAATCTAGGCCGCCAACAAGTTCCTGTCCTCCTATTTTCTGTCCTGAAAAGTGAAAATCATGCCACTCCTCTCATCACATTTATAAGAACAATTGAACATATCAATAACTTAAAGGATTGATAACAACAACGAAAGAAAGAAGGAACATGAACGTGCCTGTAGCTTGTTTGCTAAGAAAATAAGACCTGCACAGGTCCCCCAAACAGGCTTCCCCATTTTAACAAACTCACGCAGAGCAGGAAACTGTCAACAAAATAAACCAATATCAAACAAAGGAACAAATCAAAACAAACCCAGAAGCTGAGAGAGAGAGAGAGAGACCAGGTTGTGGTACTCGGCGAGCTTAGCCATGGTGGTGCTCTCCCCTCCAGGGATTATAAGGGAGGCCACGGTTTCAAGCTGCTCTGGCTTCCTTATCTCCACGCCCTTCACCCCAAGCCTTCTCAGAGCTACAACACACACACAAACAGTCGCACAGTGCATCAGAAAAACATAGTGCAATTATATCGAATGCATTTGCTGCGAGAGAGGAGGCAAAAATGGAGTGCCTGCTATGTGTTCGTTGAAAGACCCCTGAAGAGCAAGAACGCCGACGAGGGCCATTTTTGCTCCAAGCCGCACAGAATTTGGGTTGAACGAAAGAAGGAATCGAGGGAAAGAGAAAAGGCGTGAAGCGATTGAGCGCACTGGTCTGGCGGCTTTGGCCTCTCGTTTCCTGGGCGGGCTCCACTTTTGGCCGTTTTAATAACAATATTTCACTTGATTTCTTAGTCCATGTTTTAGGAAATATTGAGATTCAAACCTTGAAGAGAATTCTGATTTGAGTTCTTGATTGCACGTTTTTTTTCAATGACTTGATTATTATATGGAAGGAGTCTCTTAGTCGTCTGCCAGTTTAGAGTAAGGGGTGGGCACTTAGAACTAAAAGCTGAAATCGAAACACGAATTAAATTGAACCGCACTGGACAATTCTGTTTTTGCGATTTTGAAACGATTTTGGTTTAAAACTAAACGGCAATATGAAAAGGTGGTATGTTCACACTCCTCTCAATTTTCGATCGTCAAATCGATTGATTGAAAAAGATCAATTAACAAAAATCAACAATGATGTGTAGAGATAAAAATGGATGTGTGAACAATAATATCATATGAAAAACAATTTTGTTTCGGTTTTGACCATCTAAAACCTCACCGAGACTGAACCGCACTACAAAAATTAAATAAATATTTAATTTAATACAAGTATTAGGTAATTTATATTGTAAGTTTTCTTTGTTTTGTTTTTTCAATGTGTTTTATAGCTTTTGTAGGCTTTTTAAAGTTTACAATAGCTAATGTAATTTATATTGCTTATGTATTTGTATTATGTAGAGGTGGCCATTTTGAATTCAAGTATTGCATCTCTTACTCTTAGCCCATAACCACAACAGCAAGTTCCAATGCATCTCAAGCTTTTAGTTCACAAGGTTTAGTGACTCCTCATCCATCGAATTCAATTTCATAAGGTCCAAGGTCTTCCAAGTATCATCTTCTCAAGCTCATTTACAAGTTCAAAGGCCTCTTAACCTTAGAAGAGTAAGTGTCCAAAATGAAAGGGAAAGAGAAAGGGTTGAACGATGCAAAGTAGTGACTTAAAAGTTGAAGCACCAAAACCTTTTTGTTGAATTGCATGAACCTTTTTGTTGAAGCACCAAAACATTTTCATTAGTTTTCCTTTATTTTTTTAAATTATACCACTAATCTCATAAGGCATTTTGTATTGAAGTTTGTTTGAACTTTAGTTTTAGTATGGTAAACTTAATTTTTTCAATTGGGTATTACTAGAGTAATGTCATATGGCATTTTGATGTTGAACTTTATTTCAAGTTCAATTTTAGTGTGATGATCATGAATTTTTTTCAATTGGGTTGTATTAATAGCATAAAACATTTAGTTTGCAAAACCAAAACTGTTTGAAACTAAACTGAGCCACAACCAATGATTTGGTTCCATTTCGGTTCAAGTTTCAAAACTGCACAAGAAAAAATAGTATTGATGATATTTATTTGCTTCCATTTTCTCACAAGCCAAACAAGGTGTAACAATCTGACCATTCACACTCCACTTAAGCATTTCAAAACACAACTGCTTTGATCTGAAATGCAACAAGTTTCTACACACTGTTTGGATTCTAAGAGAGGTTTTACCTTCGAATCACTCTTTGAAAAGATTTAAGAAAAGGCGAAAGGAAGTGAAGGGTTACAAGTGGATTGTCCTAATAGATAGGGCATTCCTCTTCAATTCAGTGCATCCCGAGATCAAATTCTTCCCTTTCCGTAATTTTGATGAACAGAGAGATTGAAATGTTATAAATCACATGCTTGCTACCTAATCCAATATTTTTGAAAATAAAAATTGCCATGGAGTGACAACGCAAGTGGTAGGCGATATGATGTAGCACTTGAGATTGTCCAAATACTCTGGTTCTTCAACAGGTTTCACAATCTTAAAAGAGTAACATAGGGTGCGTTTGGTACGCAGACGGAACGGAACGGAACGGGACGGGACAGGACGGAACGGGACGGAACGAAGGTGTAATTTTTGAAAAAGACATGGGGTATATTTGTCTTAAAATGGTAAAACATTGCGTTCCACAAACGTGGAACAAACTCGTTCCAGGGGGGGAGGTGGAACGCAAAAACACTCAAAATCTGTCCCGTGGAACAGCCCGTTCCACCCATTTTTGGCGCACCAAACGCGGGACGGAACGCCTCGTCCGGTTCCGTCCCGTCCCGTCCCACGTACCAAACGCACCCTAAAAGTTGTTCTCTCACTGATAGATTAAATAAATAACACATATGATACATCACTAGACGGAGCATGAACGAATGGCTTCCTGAATTGGACTCGTCGGTGGAAGAACTTGCTCCATTCGAGGGAAGGAAACACCAAAAGTTGTCAAAAATGCAACAGTACTGCAGTGTGATGGTCATAAGGATCTGTTTCAGCTATCAAATATACAAATGAACTTCTCAATTTTAGGTTTGAATTTCGTAAATTGCGAGTTCTATTAAAGATAGTCATTTCAGTTTTTTTTTTGTTTTTTTTAAACGATCCTATATTATTAGAAGAATGAAAAGGTATGATTCCTTTAAATTATGATAATTTAAATTTCACTTGCTGAACCATCAAAGTTATACATCAACAACATATCAATTTAAAATACGATGTCGGAATTAAAATTAAATATAGAGCAATCAAATATCAACGATGTTTTAAAAGAACTGATCATTTCAACAATTGAGATTTTTTTTTTTTAACAAACGGTATTATCAACGTAAAGGGAAGAGGTAGGTTTGGTCTTACAATGATCTAGTAATAGTGTGATTCAAATTCGTCTTTGGCAGCAATTGAGATTTTAAAAGTAATTATTTTGATTAGTTTTTCAAACAGACCTTTTATTTGTAGGATTCAGTTAGAAGTGTTTTTAAAATAACTAAAAATACTTTTGGAGAAAGTATTTTTGAGTTCAAAATCACTTATAGTGTTTCCTACAAAAGCCGCATAACTATTATTTCTCCAAAATGCACTTGGATAAAATTTTCTAGTCACTTGTATTTTTACTAAAAATTCTTTTTTTTTTTAATGGAAAGTGCTACTTGCACACCTATTTTTTGTTAAAATGAACAGTATCAAAAACTTTTCGTTAAAATTCTAAAAAAAAAAAAAATTTAGAACTATTTAAAAAAAAAATTTAATAAAAAAGGAAAAGAAAACTATGCAAAGTCTGAGAGCGGTAGAGGTTCCAACACAAACTGTCGCGCGTTTTATCGGTGCGCGTATGAACTCGGAGCTCTCCACATTTGTCTGTGGCAAAAGGTATGAAATCCTCTCTCATGGCTCTTTAGCTTCGGCTTATTCTACATTGTATTTCTGAGCTAGCCTCCCTCCAGGGTTCTTTAATCCTCTATCAAAATCATACCTTTGGCGTTTGCGGTGTTTCCACAAGCAGCATAGCGCGGGGATAAATTGAAAGACTAGATTTCAGGTTAAAAAAATTTTAGTGTCTAAACCCAAAAAACTTGATTAGCGTTGTTTGATATTGATTATGATGAAAATTATTAGCTAAGATTCTAGTTCCAAACCCTTGATTAGATTTAGCTAATGCCGATTTTATGCGATCTAGTGTTCATGTTAAATGTAGTTTGAGCAGTTCATTAAGTGATATTAGGTTAAATTTGGGGCTAAATTTGATTTTTTTTATAACCATGGTGGTGAAGGGTTGTGAGAAGCAATTTCTTTTTGTTATTGCCGAATGGGTTTTTATCGTTCGTCGAAAATTCACATGGTTTTCATGAATTTTCATATAGTGTTCATGTTAAATGTAGTTTGACCAGTTCATGGAGTGATATTAGGTTAAATTTGGGGCTAAATTTGATTTTTTTTTTATAATCATGGTGGTGAAGGGTTGTGAGAAGCAAGTTCTTTTTGTTAATTATCGTTCGTTGAAAATTCACATGGTTTTCATGAATAGGTATTGGGGAAGCAAGAAATTTTGGCTGGAGCAGTCGGTTTCGGTTGCAAGGATTTCGTCTTCAACCTTTGTGTTTAACCAAACCCACAAGTTCTTTGAGAGTTGAGATGCAGCAGCGGCAGCAATACCACCACCACTTGGGTTTTGAAGAATCACCAAGTGGAAGCAGTGGTGCTAGGGTGAGCTTATTGATTCGTCACCTTCCGGAAGCTATTTCTGAGGAGACTCTGTTTCGGCTGTTGTCCCACTATGGTGCTTCTTCTGTTCGCTCATGCGCTGCTACTGGCCGGTCAATTCTCTCTTCTCCTTCTGATTTGTTATTGTTCCTCTGTTTTTTTCTTTTGCTCCCCTCGCTATAATCTATATGCATATACTCACAGGCTGAGAAACTGCGCATTTGTGGATTTCCAAAACGAAGGCTTGGCGTACCAGGCACAACGACAGTTAAATGGGTATCACAAGCACTGTCATATACTCGTTTTCTTGCATTGCAGTCACATTGTCATGTTATGTTACTAATTGATTTGTAGCCTTGTTTTCCTTGTTTGGGTAGGCTGAGGTTTCTTGGTAAGGTCTTGAAAGTAGAGAGAGCAGCCACCAATAATGATAAGCCATCACAGGCTGCTAACAACGATTCTATTTCTGTAAACCCCACTTCCAAACCATCTTTGGTCCACAATCCTACCATCAAGATAGAGGCTGAAAAAATTGAAGTCTCAAGATCAGAGCCCATTGCTCCAAGGCTTGGTGTAGACTATCCCTTTCCTCCTCACCTCGAGTATGTTATTCCACTCCACTTCTTCAAATTATTAAAACATATGTTATGAGGGTCCTCCTGTATTTGAGAAATTTATCTATATGTTTGTTAGTCTGTTACTCATATGTTAATGTGGATGGGAAGTTATATCTCTATTGTACCCTCCAATAGGTTTAAAATGATTTGATTTTTATATATTACAGGTACGCTTACCCGCCACCAGATGGAAATATTCTAACCAACGTTGTAAATGCTCTTATAGCTGTACCTTCTTCAAATTATTAAAACATATGTTATGAGGGTCCTCCTGTATTTGAGAAATTTATCTATATGTTTGTTAGTCTGTTACTCATATGTTAATGTGGATGGGAAGTTATATCTCTATTGTACCCTCCAATAGGTTTAAAATGATTTGATTTTTATATATTACAGGTACGCTTACCCGCCACCAGATGGAAATATTCTAACCAACGTTGTAAATGCTCTTATAGCTGTACCTCGCTTTTATACACAGGTTCTCTCTAATCTCAGACAAAACTAATGTAACAGTGCACTTAAGATCTCATAATTTGAATATGTACTTTGTTTTTATCTAGTCAGTGAGACATATTTTAGGCCATATTATCTCAATTGTAGGTTTTGCACTTGATGAACAAAATGAACATACCAGCTCCATTTCGTATGGCTCTTCCCTCTCCACCACTACCACCTTCAGTACCCGTGCCACTTCCACCACCTCCCCCACTTCTAGCCGAAAAGCCTTGCTCGGCTGATTTATCAAGTGAAGAGTCAGAAATGGAATCTTCGGATGAGGTAATTTCATAGGTTGCCAAGTCTTCCTTTGATAACTATTTATGTTTTTTTCTTTAAGTTTGCACGCGTGAATGCATGAGAGGAAGAGAGGGGTACCATGGTTTCAAGAATGAGAATTAAGAACAATCCAAACCCAACCCCCCCCCTCTCTCTCTCTCTCTCTCTCTCTCTCTCTCTCTCTTCCTCCTCCTCAAAGAACAAAAAACTGAAAACGTTAACAAAAAAAGCACTAAAGCATCTGGAACACACATATATGCACTTGTAAGTGCACATTGAACTATGATACTTGTGAAATCATTTCATGTTTCTTCAATTTCATACGTCCACACATCCACATTTGGATTATTATGTCAAAAAGAAGAAAAATTACTCTAGCTGTCTAATTTTCTAGTTTCTTTATAGTTTACACATCCTTTGAGAATTTGAATTGAATGTTATCAGGAAGTCAAGGAAAAATCCTATAGCAGAGCTTTTAGTGGACGGAAGCGTATTAAGCGGGAAGCTATTGTTGGTCCTGCAGTTGATAAAGATGTAGCTCATGAAGATGTTGGATTGAAATCGGCCACTCTTATCCCAAAGGAGATTCCAATGATAAAAAAGAAGAACCCTATTGTACAGGTCGTTAATCTTTTTTTATAGGAAGAGGTCATTTACTTTTCAAGATGAATGGTCATCTTTATAGGTTGATCTCTTATGCCTAGCTATTTTTCATATATTCTTCTTGGATTGTTGCAGATAAAAATTGCACCCAAAGTTGTTGCTAATGAAAATAAAGATGATGGCATTACTGAAGACTCAGAGCATCCAGAAAATGAGAGTGCAGATATCAACACTTTTGCGACTCCAGAAGAACTGGAAAAAGGAAAATTGCCTCCAGAAGAAATATTATCACTGCCAATGTTTAAGGTACCAATTTGACATTTGGCTCTATTTTGGTAGGCGGCCTTGCTGTCTGGAGTCTGAAGCGATGCCTAGTCATAAAAATTATATATTAACTTTAAGGGAAAATTTTAGGTGACTTGTGAAAAAAAGATATTTAATACAGAGATCTTACTTGGAATCTGCAGAACTATGCAGCTGGGAATCCGGCCTCGGTGTTGTATATAAAGAACTTGGCAAAGGATATTGTTGCTGATGACTTCTATTACATATTTGGTGAGCTCACAGTTACGATGAACTCTATATAGCTTATTTTAGTTTTCTTAAACTGTATGTTAGAAATCTTAGTTCTCCGCAAGTATTTATGCTGAGATATCCTAAATAGTAGTATTGAAGAAGTGATCCTTTACATGTGAATTCTCTTCACATTTTTGTGGTGTCCAAACAGTAGAAATCACTCCAATTTTCCAGGTCCAAGAATTGTTAAACTGTCTAGGTTTAACCATTCTAAACTACTGTAATACTGTTGTTATGCCGTAGGGTCATTATTTGGAAGCATTGATACAGCCAAATCTGGTCTCAGCGTGAAGCTCATGCAGGTGAGATCTCTTGATCACCTTTATGCTTCCAAGTCAACCTTTGTTCCTTTACATATTTGATTACCAATGCTGTCCTAAGTTACTCTCTTTGTACATCAAGGATAGCTGAAATATTTCAATGGAACAAGTAAAAAGTGGAAAGATAGAAAACTACGATGGGTTATGGGCTCAGTTTGAGAAAATTGTGGGGGACTATGAGGTTGGAATGAGACGTTTACCCTGACTTATGAAGAAAGCATCTAATAAACTTTAAGGAGTTCATATATAAATTCGAATGCCTTGACAAAGACTTGTTGTAATGAAGATTTCATTCCTTATAATGTGTCTGTGGCATGTTATATTATCTTGAAAGGTGTCTTTTGCCAATCTTTGCATCTGCTTCAAGTGCTTTCCTACCAGCAAAAGCTGAAAGTAATATTTTGGATTGCAGGAAGGAAGAATGAGAGGCCAAGCTTTTGTGACATTTCCATCAGTTGAACTAGCACATTATGCTTTGGTATGCCCCTCTGATCTCAATTAATAGTTGCTGTACAATTAGTATCAAGATGGTCTTGGTGCTCGTCTGCTAGTTTTATGATGATTTCATAGGTCTTGATGGATTTTTAATTGCATCCAGTGTACGCAGTTTTGCTTACCATTCAAGCAGACATCTGTAGTCCCTTTGTTATCTTGCTTTTTCGTTGAAGCATGGATAAAATCACTCATTTGTTATACCATTATAACCTTCGTTGCAGAATCTAGTAAATGGGTATGTGTTCAAAGGCAAACCAATGATCATCCAGTTTGGCCGGAATCCTGCAGCTGGGAAAGCGAATTAAAATGGTGAACTATCCGTGGACGTTCTGAATTTAATCCACCATGCTATCAGTTTACTGAATTTAATCACCTGCAACATTGTGACTAATCAGCACCCTCAGTTTACCAACATCAACAGATTTATATCATGCAATCATATTCTTCTCTTTCAGAAATTGGCTGGGAGTGGGGTTTTCTCCAGAACTCCTCGAGCACGAATCTCCGGTGGTGCAGAAGAAAGAAACTGTAATATGTTGCTACCCATGCAACTAAAGTGGACTGAGAGCTGGTGGTTCTGAAAAGGTTGAAGATACATGCCCAGATGGTCTCTACTAGGCATCCTGCATCAGCTCAAAAGTTTTCCACATCAGAATGCGTTTAATTGACCGATGCAGCTGTGATTAGTTACCCAGAATGTTGCATTTGATTTCAGTCACTAGAGGTTTTCTAGAAAGCCCTAATGACAAAGGCAACAGCCATTGTAGCTTAAAAGTTACCGCTGTAATTTTTTGTGTCTGAGCTGTATCCGACTTCCGGGCCCAAGAATTTCTCCATAATTCTTCTCATGTCTTGGACTCTTGGCTTAAAAGTTAAAACTAACAAGTAGAGAAAGTTGGTTTCAAAGGAGAACTGAATTTCTCTCTTTTCAGAATAAAAGGGTTGGTTATCAAATATCAATCAAGTTATATAACTAAGAAAACGTTTTTTTTTTCAACTTTTATATTGAAGTTACACAATGTATCAGTCATAATTTGGTGTTAAATTCGTCATTTAAGAGAATCGAACCAATAACACACTGTAACGTACGAGTGAAAAGAAAACTACTAAATTATAGTGACTAATGGCAAATAAAAAAAAAAAAGTTCTTTTTGGGGTTTTGACAAAAGTCAAGATTTGTAAATGGACATGGACTCATTTGTTTGAATTTATAAATATAGAAATTTAAAATTTTCGCATGGCAAAAAAATTGAAATTTGGGACCTCCAATCCCAAAAATAAATTTTACGTAAATAGATATCATTTCTAAATTTATATGATTGAGAGTTTAAAAATAACAAATTTCATATTCAAATTCTTTGTTAAGTTAGCCGAAAATTCACAAATTCTTAAAAATTTCCGTTATTTTAAAGTTATTTGGTAATCTTAAAGTAAAAAGACAAAAATGCCCGCAATTTGGGTACATAATTATGAACTGGTGGGCGTCACTGCGTCTCCGTGCTGTGGGTCTCATCACTCCAACGGCCACAGCAAATCAAGGTCAATCGAACCATGAACAACGGCGAACAAAGACGCCTAAACGGAGAAGCTGAGGAAGACGAAGACGACGACGACGCAAACAATGGTGGCCTTGCTGCCTGGGAGCGAGCTTACGCCGACGAGAGGTCGTGGGAGTCTCTGCAGGAGGACGAGTCCGGACTTCTCCAGCCCATTGACAACCAGTCCCTCAAACATGCCCAATACCGCCGCCGCCTTCGCGCCGCCTCCACTGCCCGAATCCAAAAGGGTCTCATTCGTTATCTTTTCATTGTTATCGACCTCTCTAAGGTATCTGATTCCTGTTTGCTTGTTGCCCTTTCGAGATTTTAGGAAATTTTATTCAATTTTGCTAATGGGTCTGTCATCTGTTTGTGTTGAGAGAGAGAGAGAGAGAGAGAGAGAGAGAGAGAGAGAGAGAGAGAGAGAGAGAGAGATTTTAGTTTAATTTTTACTATTTTTCTGGTCTGATCTGCAGGAATTTGTTTTTCTGAAACCTTTGTTTGGTAAAGTTTGAAGCTTTAAATTGATTCGAGTGAATTGACTATATTTTAGTACTGCCATTTTTCGGGCTGATGAACTTAGCTTGGGCAGTCAATGATATTGGTTTATATCATCTTCAATCAAGAACGAAAATGGTGTATTAAGATACATGGATGCAGAAGTTTTTTTGTGACAGTTCTTGTGCAATGTATTTAATATGTGATGTTAAATTGATACATTTGGTTTCGTTTGATACTTGAAGGCAGCTGCAGAAATGGATTTTCGACCAAGCCGAATGGGGGTCGTTGCGAAACATATTGAGGCTTTCATAAGAGAGTTTTTCTACCAGAATCCGCTTAGTCAAGTTGGCCTGGTGACTGTAAAAGATGGTGTTGCTCATTGCTTGACGGATCTTGGTGGCAGTCCCGAGTCTCATGTTAAAGCTTTGATGGGTAAACTGGAATGCTCTGGTGACTCGTCCCTACAGAACGCATTGGATCTTGTACATGGGTATCTTAATCAGATTCCATCATATGGTCATAGAGAAGTATTGATCTTATATTCAGCTCTCAGTACCTGTGATCCTGGAGATATAATGGAAACTATCCAGAAGTGTAAGAAATCCAAAATTAGGTGCTCAGTTATCGGTCTCTCAGCAGAAATTTTCATATGCAAACATCTATGCCAAGAAACCGGTGGCTTGTACTATATTGCATTGGATGAGGTGAGTTCATCTAAGTAACCCTACACTGCTAAACTACACGAGAATGAATAACCAAAAATAGTCAACAGAGTTAAAAGTTGTTGTAGTGACTGCCAAGTGATCTTTTGTTTTGCACGTAAAAGATTTAAGATTTTCATCGACGGTTATTATTGGAATTAACCTACAAAATTCGTTTTTATAACATTGGTTCTGATATGTTTCTTCTTGTGTAGGCACACTTAAAAGAGTTGATATTGGAACATGCACCTCCACCTCCAGCAATAGCAGAATTTGCAATTGCTAACTTGATAAAGATGGGCTTCCCACAAAGAGCAGCAGAGGGCTCTGTGGCCATTTGTTCATGTCACAAGGAGGCAAAGGTAGGAGCTGGATACACTTGTCCTAGGTGCAAGGCTCGTGTTTGTGAGCTACCTACAGAATGTCGCATTTGTGGGCTGACACTCATTTCTTCCCCTCATTTAGCAAGGTCTTATCATCATCTCTTTCCCATTGTACCTTTTGACGAGGTCCCTCTGTCACTACTAATTGATCAACAAAACAAGTTTCCTAGAGCTTGTTTCGGCTGCCAACAAAATCTTCTCGGTCCTGGTAAGTATGTATGTACATAAAGTAGATACTTTGGAGTTTTTGGAATAAATTTGATAGCACTGCAGTATATTTTTGTTTTCTTGTGAAATGTTGTAGATGTAGGTTAGTCATGTCTTTTATGATTGTTTTGCTGTCATTATTGAAACAAGTGCATAAGAAGAGATGAAAGGAATCCACTAACCGAGGACAACATGATCTCCAAAACTACTGTCTGAATGAAATACTAAGTTCACAATCTAAAAGCTTAGCCATAGCTGTAATAAGATTGGACGTATTTAGCTTCAATGTATTCTCTTTTGGGGAAGATATCCACAGACCAGGCAATATTCTTGATGTGAATTACATGGTTCAATTCTATTAAACATCGGCCTCATTGTCTGACAGAAGTTACGCAAGTCTGATAAGGAAGCTGGGGACCGTGGTGTTTGGTTGTTGTATTGCAACGTGTTAGCAGATGCTCCCTTAGAAGCAGCAGCATGAAGCTGCTTGTGACTGTAGGAATAATAAGACACTTAAAGGGAGAATAAGAGAATAAAAGGCCTTTTCTTATCCCGCCAAAAAGATTCGGTAATAGAAAAGGAAAGAGAGAGAAATACAAGTGAAAAGATGAACCTGGAAACATTACTTTTAAAATCACAGGCCCTTGCCCCTCAAACGTATATCCAAGTTATTCCTTGATGTCATATGTAAATCTTGCCTTTGTTTTCAGTTTATGTACCAGGCCTGTGTAACAGGTGGGATCGCCTCCCTATCTTACATTTGTTTTCACTGTATATGACACAGGAAACAAGCCCGGCCTTCGGGTCGCTTGCCCAAAATGCAAACAGCACTTCTGCCTTGAATGCGACATATATATTCATGAAAGCTTGCATAACTGCCCAGGTTGTGAGAGCACTAGGCATTCCAGGATTCCAAATATAAATGAAGGATGAAGTACAGCAGATTTTAATACGATGCTGCCTCCACATATGCGCCGGTCTCGCACGCCTCACCATGGTACCCGAACGTATGACCTGGCTACTGTCACGGGTGCTAGTTGTTCAAAGCAAGCAGCTACCGTGGTGGCTTTGGGGAGTCCGCGATCCTTTCATCAAACGTTGCAAGAGAAAAAACAGTAGTGTTTACAGTACCATGAATCTGAGTTTCGAAAATTATTGCCATATCGATCGTTTTGAAGAAACAGAGGAATTTTCCCCTTAATTCCAGTTGGAGATTTGTTACTGCTAACTTCGTAGAGGGGTATTTGTACTTGGATAGACCTGACTTCTTAAGATTGGAGATTTGTTTCCGCCTTGGTTTTGATCGGAAGAAAATGGCATTTTTCCGACCTGTTTGTCGATAATTTTTATATATAATTCTCAATTGCCTCTCATCTCAAGTCATGCTAGACCGTATACCAAGGTCTGTTGGTATTATTCTCCACTCGTAAGTCCTCCTCTTATAATGGTAAGTTTGGTATCAATTTATTGATGGCTCTTCCTTCCCACAAATACCGTTAACGGACTCAAACTAGCCATCCAAGTCTGTTAAACTCGGTGACGATTACTTACTAGGAAAGAATAATACCGCTAGACTGTAGTGCTAGCCGGCGCCATCCAATGGTGGGGATTTGGATTTTTACACAGCACACACACATGCGATGACATATTGCATAAAACTGGCCGAAACAATTTCCACGGTTGGGACTCCGGATTCAGAAATTACAAGAATTTCACCCCATACATTGAAGTTGTAATAATTGATCGTGAAACTCAATTGCGTTCCAAATACAATGAACATATAACCTTCTCTATAATTTCTTTGTTGCCTCACAGGATCTCATCAATCACGACTTATTTGTCGGCCGTCGGAGCAACGGATAAGTGCATTTCCCCTGTACTTTAAATGGATCTCTATAAGTTAATACAAATATCGTGCCCCCAACAGAAGTGTACACACCCAAAATAAAAGAGTCATTCAAACCATGACCAACCAGAAATATATCGATTATTTTCAAAAAAATGACTACCCTACAAACAAGTGGAAACTGAGTGAATATTTACAGGCTATTGCTTCTCACCATAAAACCGAGACGAGGAGCCATCTATTTTCTTTTAATTTGTTTCATAAGGTCTCCCCCACTACATCCCAGTTTTCCGGATTCAAATCCTGCAGATCATTACCGAGAGGAACTCGAACAACCCTGTCAGTTAAACAGGCATCCGAAGCGCTTCTGCTGTTGCATAAGCAGGATAACGAAATATGATAAGAAGGAATAAAACTCTCAAACCAATGGGAAATTTCTGCAGGTGCCAGTGCAAGTTTTGCGACAATGCAGTGTATTTGGATGCCTTGTGCAACACCAAAAACTTCCAACTCTTGCCAGGAACCAAATGTCTGTCAGCATTACTCCAGGATACACTTTGAATCCCGGGGGGACAAAAGACAAAATCCAAAAAGGTAGTTCTCAAAACAAGTTCCAGTTCCTCTAGTCAGAGTCCGAGTCAATAGAAAGAAACAATCGCGGTCTCGCAGAACGTTTTTGGCGAGGAAATGAGAAAGGACTATTTGATCTTCGCCTACTTCTGTCAGATCTGCTACCATCATTCACACCGAGAAGCAAAGAAGCTGCAAAGGGAACAACAGTGAGCCTAATAATCTTTGTTAACCACTAATTACAAAGACTGACAAAATAAAACAAAGACGTAAGAAGAAAATTAGATGTGATTGTGTCTGATGCGATTGTATCACAGAGTCTGCACCAATTCATCTTGCCCTAGTGAACATATGAACTTCAGACTTTTCAAATAAGCTTTAGAGCGAAAGACGCACATGAACACAGAGTAAGCAACAAGCTTGGGAAAAATAGGTCCTATTTGAATTGCAGATTTCACTTCCATGGAGTTCATGAACTTGAACATGTGATTCCACATGAGGTTGAGCTTCAAGAAGCTCAATAGCACTCACTTCATTACTCAAACTCGTTTATGCATCTTCCGAGACAGCATTCACTTGTATCAGTGAAGCTTATTGACAGAAAGGAGATTTTTAGAACCTGAGATAGCACTCACTTAAGCATGTTTAAAATCTGTTATATTTTAGTTCCTTCTGGTTTTTAACACGATCGCAAGCAAAAACCAAGATCAATTTGAAAGAACCACCAAAATCTAAAAAAGTGGAGTACAGACAGAAAATAAAATCTGCATGTGATGTGCTTAACGACAAGACTAAGATGTTGATACTGTTTCACTGGATTATACAAAGGAATGAATTATACATCAGATGACATGAATGAATTATACAAAGGAAGAAAGTCAGTCAAACTTTTAACCACTAGAATAAGGTTAGACCTCTTAGACTCAGATAAAAACGTTCAACTATCGCATAGAAATTTGGAGTAGTAAAACTTCATTCAACAAAACTCAAACAGTATAAAACAATTTCAGCCAGGTCACCCAATTCAACAAAATACATAACAAATAGCTTGGATATATTTTCAGGTACTTGTAATCTTTTATCATTGTTTATTAATAAAACAACCCGATTAGTTTCCTTTGTAATCGAGTTTCTGCTTTTTAGAATTTGAGCATCCATAGTTGTGGAAGAAAAAATAATACGAAACTAACTTTGCCGATAAAAGAGTATTCGAAAGTTCAAAACAAGGCTAGTAATTAAACTTTATCTCAAAGAACATTACCGGTGCTAATTACACATCCTAGAAGGCTAGGCACGCAGGGGAAAAAAGATAAATGGAAGTAAATGCCATATACAGTCAAAAGTTTACATTCAACTTTTGTGAAGAGTAGAATTATCTTGAACAAATATTATAGCTTTTCTTTTAAGACTTGAGAAATAGTTGAAAGTCAATAACCTCATTCAAGAAGCAACATAATGTGGAAGTAGCACCTGCTTAAACCATATATAATGAATGTGCTACAACTGGCTCCTAAGACAATAAAAGAAGAAAGAAATAAAGACATTCCATTTCCTCCCTCTCACGACAAACTTTGTTTCACATCCAGAAAACAAGTCAAGAGTAACAGTTTTATTCACCAATAAAATAAATCAGCGCTCAAACAAAACACCACACTGAAAACAGGGATGCTGTGTCCATGTTTAAAATATTTGCATACCCATACAATCGAGCTACCTCTGATGCTAATCATGAACCAATCTAAAAGTCATTTGCAGCAAATCTGTCAGAAGAGGACGAACCTGTATCAGCCAAAGAATCCATGGCACCTTCTCTGGATGGCATTTGCACTCTAGAATTCAAACCATTAGGAGTTGCAGGTGTGCCATTGATGCCACTGGCGTCGCCCCCAAGCCTAAGAGATATCCAATCATCGGTGTGGACACCATTTGACATATCAACCTGATCTCTCAAATCAGAATGAACTGATGCATCCGATGGTCTTGTGGGAAGAAAAATTTGAAGAGAAGGGTCATCACCAGGAAATACCATTGGATAATCAACTAAGCCACCGTTCATGTCAATATCTGAACGTGCAACAGACGAATCAGGTAATAGGGTAGCAGATCCCATGGTAGTTTCTGGAGCCAGAGTGTATCCATTCATAGATGTGGAACAATGGATGGAACCATGCTGCAGACCACCTAGGGTATCTGGTACATCTGCCTCAGAAGTAAATAACTGGAACCCAGGGCCAGATTGAGTTCCGGGAGGTAATGATGACCAGAGAGGAATAAATTCATCATCATTGCCAAAAAGATCCATGCATGAGTTCCCACCATTTCCAAGCGTCGGATCGCCACCAAATGAATCAGCAATTCCAGAAGGCGCCGCAGGAAAACTAATCCCAGAAGCATCAGTTCTGTCATTCCTATATATGGTTCCAGAGGGCATTATATCGTCATCAGAATCACTAAGTAAAACAACTTCTGCGTCTCCGACTGGTGCAGAAGGATTTTGTCCCGAAAATCCATACGCATTCAGAGAAAAAGAATCCATCTCAATCCCATTGTTAGTAGAGAAATCAAAGTTCCCACCACCATCCTGATTTACACTCGCATCTTCACCATCCCTACCACTTCCAGTGGCACTGCTGCTCATTGGGATAACTTTTAGCTCGTGGTCTGCAAACTGCTCTTGTATTCTATTACCAGAAGAAGTGTTCATATCTTCAGGTTTGCTGAATTCCCAAAAGCCGTTGTGATTCTTCCTGATTCCAAGTTTCAATCCAGTACGACCTTCTGAAACACCTTCCAGTTTGACCTGCTTCAACACTTCCGTCTTTGGGATACTTTCTCCTTCTGTTGGGGCACTAAGTGTGCTATCAGGAAGGTGCCACCGTCCAAGTTCCCCAAGCTCCCTACGATCACTTTCACTTTTAGTCTTAACTCGCCAAGAACCATCAGGCTTCACCTCAATCTCTGCTACATCCTCTTCACAATACCTCATCTGTTACAACCCCACGAAACAAAAATATAAAACAAAAAAACAAAGGATGGATCAATTAAGTGATACTTTAGAACCAAAATATTATGTAGTGCATAAAAAGGCATTACCTTTGAAGTGATACGGTTGAAATAAGGGTCAATAATGACATTCTCCAGCGCATAGTTCTTAAGACAAATAGGGCATTGCCACTGCAATCACAAACCAAAGCATGCTAAACAAACAGAATAAAAAACAAGGACAAACAAACTGCATCTTTCACTTTGCAATTTGCATAGAAGCTTGCCTTCCTTGAACGTTGATTCATTTCCACAAAAACGTCAAGATCAAAACAGCCAATGTGAGGGCAGGGCTTGAATCTTCCAGCAACCTTCATTCTTGAACCACTCATCTATAAAATATAAGCAGAAAAATACCAATTTCAGAAATCAAGGCATGAAAGATGTTAGTTGACATAAGAAAACTCGTCTCCTGACGAATTATTTATGTACTACAGAAAAATAATTCAACACGAATTCCTAATTTATCAAAGAAAATATAATTGCACCATAAAGAAGATATGTGTTAGTTAGAAGAATTAGTGTCAGCATGTTCAGGCAAATAAAAGATTGTCCCATCACTAGTAGGGTGCTTTTCTTTGTCACAACCCTAGACACATCAGAACTTGGAAATCACTTAAAACAATTAGAGTAACACGCAACATAAAGATGTACTCCTGATATCAAAATTATAAGAATCTAAAGAAGTTAGAAGAGTCCCTTGGTTATTCATATGCTTGGCAAAATAAGCATTCTTCATACCCAAGAGTTGAGATATTAATTGCATATGGCGTCTTGAGCTCATATACAAAAAATAAAATTCATCAAAGTATTATCAGATAATTGAGTCATATATCCTGACTGTAATTAAACTCCTATATAGAAGAGAGCATTTCATCGCAAGTTGGAAAGACAACTTACCGGACAACGTAGATT